ACGCTTGAATCACACTAAAATCATATTTATTCTCACTATGTGGCACTCTATCTATTGTCACTGGAAGCATCCAACCATAATCTTCTTTTAGTGCTATAACACTGTAATTATGCCCTATACTCATTCCTCCAATAGAACCTGAATGAATATAACTTCTATCTTCTGATTTAGCTGAGTGCTTTTTTATATTGCCAGTAATATCTATTGCAAATGTATGTATATTCCCTGTATCCTCTATTGCTGACTCGAACAAAAAACTTTTTATTTTTTCCTTTGCTTCTGCTCTTTTTTCTTCTCTATTTTTTTTATTCTTGCGAGATGTAAAATAACCACCAATAGCACGATATAAGCTACTATATTTTCTTTTAAAAAATCTACTAAGGCTTAATTCAACTACTGTCATTGCTTTTAATGTAAAATTTGTTGCTAAAGCAAAGATTAAATCAATGCATGAATTTTTTTCATAGGGAAAAAAGATTTTCAATATTATTGAAATATTTTTTTAGCTCTTCAATATTTTTGACTTTTTTCATTAAATTATTTTTATTCTTCAGTTATAGTTGCAAATTTATCACAATTTGTCAAAAGTCCAGAGAAATGGAAAGCACCATTCATCAAAATGATCCATACACAATCAATAGCTTAACAACAAAGTTTCTTAAGGATAATGCACTTGGATACACAGGTAGCTCTGTTAAATATATGCCTACAGATATAGATGGAGATCCTGAGCTTAATTATTTATATTTACAAGCTGGTGGCAAGTTAATGCCTAAAGATGCAAATGATCAAAATGATACATTTATTGACCAAGCTATAGAAGGTAAAAATCTAACCCAGCCTAATGTAGTAATGACAACAAAAGGAAATAATGATGGTAAGTCTAATGACAATGAAAAAGATCAACCTATTAAAAACGAGCCAGCTCTTACAGCATTAGGTAGCAATTTAAAAAATGATTATAAAAGTAATATGAGTGATGTGAAGAAGCTAAATGAAAATCATATGAATAAGAGAATTAAGGAAATCAATGAAAGAAGTATAAAATTTAGAGGTACGGAAAAAAATAAAGAAAACCAAGCTGGTGAAATTATAGGCCTTGAATTCACATCTGGGTATGATGGGACTGAATTTGCAAAGAAAATACATCAAGAAGTTAATCAAAGTAAAGCAAATGATAAATACGATATTAATACAAAGCTTGATTCCAAAACTACCGAGCTGAAAGAAAAAACTTCTGTAGTAAAAGAGCATCAAGAAAAAATAGATTCTAAAGTGAAGGGGGAAGTAAATCAAACAGCATTGGGTGGAATAGCAAATGATGTAGTAGAGGATATATCCGATGCTACTAGTAATTTTATGACTGGTGTAAAAAACACATATTACGATATTACAAATCAGCCAGACAAAAAAGGGGTATATATTCAAAGAGATAAAGCGCCTACAGAAATTAAAAAGGATAAAAGATTAGATATAAAAAGAGAATCTAAAGAAAAACAAACCGAAAATCTAGCTTCTCAAGAATCAAATAATGCTGAAGCATCAAAAGATATAAAGAAGGCTAATAAAAAAGATGGGGGTGTTGAATGAATATATCATTGAAAGCACAAAAAAGAATAAAAATAATATTTTGCTGTATAGTAGCATTCCCCTTTTTAATTAGTTTATTAAATGCATTATTATTTACTAGTGGAGTTAGT